GAAATGATCACCTGAGGTTTCAAGTCAAGCTTTTCACTCGCTAGGTAGGCTTTCTACCACTTACACCATGACTCTAGCCCTTTTTGCTCTGGAGTCTGTCTGGGCTGGCCTAGACTACCACTTACCTGCTTATATTTCCATCTCTAGATAGGACAGCAGTCATCCACCAATTGATCAGCTATAGTTTGAGATGATGTCTTGTGAACTTTTTGTGTAAAGTATCCTGGAACCATGATCCTCCCAACTTAGCCTCTTGAATATCTTGGATGATAGGCATGAACCACTGTCGCTGATTTGTATGTGTACTTCTTAAATGATTTACATTAGTTTATTTTAATGCTAGAGTCATACAAACTAATGGCTTTCTTTTCTTTTTTTTTTTTGTCATCCAATCATGAAACCACGAGACTTGGACTTAAAAGTATGTGTTTCCTGAGTTGGAAGGAAAGCACCTTAGATCTTGAGGGTTGCCCTGATTGTGTCTGACCCACCAAATCTTCTGCTACAATCTGAATTATCCATCTTATAAGGTTGGGCTAATACAGAATGAAAAAGGTAGATCTTCACTGTCCTGCATTCAGTTACCTGAATGGATTTTGGAGAGCATCAGGAAAACATTTGTAAATGTGTAGTTATTGAGTTCGATTCTGGTTTATCTTTTCTTGGTCAGACAAGGTCAACTGGATGAATCAATGATACCACTTTGGGAAGCCAGTCTGAGTTGGCCCTGCAGATGAAGGGCACCATTCAAGGGCACCCATTCTGCTCCTGCCGTCAGCGTGCACAGGAACTCTTCTGTCTCTGACTCAACAAAGAACAGTCAATTCCCTCTGCAGGGAGCTTCCTTGAGATCCTTTCTTCCATCTCTCCCTGAGGAAGACAGGTCAGAAAGAACATTGACTATGATAACCATCTATCTGGGAGCTTTGTGTATATACATATAGCTCCCATCATTCTGTCTTCAATGAATAAGAAGGTTTTGTTTTCTCAGAATCATGGATATTCTTTATGATGACAAAGTGGTAATGTAGGAACCTCTCTTGCTTTTTGAATTCCCAGAGAAACTTTTTGGACAGACATTGGCATTTTCATGACACACATGGTTCTGGTAGTTCTAGTATTCTGGTTTTTTTTTTTTTATGATTTGAGAATGATTTATCAGGGGAGGCGATTGGGGCCCTGGAAAAGTCACTGGAAAGGAACATGGGGAGGTAAGTGCTAATCTCGAAGCCTTCAAGGGTTTTCATTTTAGCACCGGTAAAAGAAGTGGGGGGAGATCACTTTCCTAGAAGTTTTTAGCACTGACATTTTAAGAGCTCACCTATTTCTAAAACCTGAGGGTTTAATGAAGCAGAATCTTTCCATTCTCCAACGCTGCCAGCTAGATGAGAGAACTTCCTGTCTGAAGTGAAAGTCTTATGTCAATATAGAAAACTTATCTCCATCCCAGACAGCCCTAAATGTGTGTTGATGGCAGAACAAGGATGATTGCCAGGCATCAGAGATGGATGTAAAGCAGAACAATGCACACCTGGCAGACTTCGTTTATCAGTGCATTCTGATTTGCCAAAACGGCACTGAAAGTGAAATCTCCCATTATGCAAATGTTTATCACTTTCTTAAAAAAATGTTCCAGTTGGGCCGGCATGTTTTATGGTTTGCTTTGCTTCAAAGATAAGCACACTATCAAAGACGAGACTAAAATTCCCAGGCAGTTTTTTTTTTAACTTAAAGGGTTGAGTTTAAAAGAGAATGTTGCCAATGGAACAGTTTGAGGAAAGGCACTATTTAAAAAAAGGTTTAAGCATAAGGTTAGGCTTGCTCAAATAGTGAGATGACAGTTTCAGGAGCCTTCAAGTAGCTCATCGTTTACATAAACATCTGCAAAGCTTTGGAGAATTAAGAAGCAAGCAAGCAGCTGAGGGCTCACACCTGTCTGAGACTCACAGGAGTCTGAGATCTGAGGATGACAGTTCAAAGCCAGCCCAGGTGGAAAAGTCCTTGAGACTCTTATCTCCAGTTAACTAGTAAAAAGCCAGGAGTGGAGCTATGGCTTAAGTGACAAAGTACCAACCTTGGGAGAGGGTGAGGCTCTGAGTTCAAGCCCCACTACCAGTACATACACAGACAACAAAAGAAATAGAGAATAAGCAAGCCAGTGTCAAAATGGGAACCTGGAGCTTAAACACTGGGGATTTTCAACATATATATATGTGGAAGTCATCTCTTATCACTCACTGACATCAGGTACTGTTGGCCTAATGAGAGACACCATCCCTAGAGGCAAATCATTCCCTTTCAGATCTGATCACACAGAGACTCAATATGCTGTCTTTGTATTTATTTGTTTATTTGATTTTATTTGCCAATGGCTTATACTCAGTTCATAGCAACCCAAATGAAGTTTGCTTTTGCAAAGCACCAAGGGCACTGCTAACAATCTACAGACAATTCAGAGAGGGGGATTATGACACATCTCTCAGTTTCATCTGCGTGGAGATTTAGAGCTAAATAATATCGAATCTTTAATTTTTTTACATCTGAATAAGAATATGCTTATACTTACTAACTTGAAGAGATTTTTTTCTTTATAATACTTTAACTTGAATAATAACAATTGGCTAATAGAAAACAAGCTCCATTTTTTATTCATGATATAGAGCCCAAGCTGGTCTTGAATTTATAATTTATCTATCTTAGGCCTCCTAAATACCGGGATTACAGGTGTGTGCTACTACACTAAGCTATAAACTCATCAGAGTAAGGACATAAAAAGTGTTTTGGAAGGAGTGACATGGAATAGATTGTCTAATTCAGGAGAGATTTTCTAAGTTGAATGCAATTCATGCACTCAAATAAACACAATCTGATCATTAAGTGGTTGTCTTTAAAAGGCTTGATTTCTGTCTCTTGAGAAAACAAACAAACAGGGTCTGGGTCAGTGGTAGAGTGCTTGCCTTGCATGCATGAGGGCCTGGGTTCCATTCCTTAGCACCACCCAAGCAGAAAAAGCTGGAAGTGGCACTGTGCTCAAGTGGTAGAGCGCTAGCCTTGAGCTGAAGAGCTTAGGGACAGTGCCCAGGTCCAGAGTTCAGGTCCCATGACTGACAAAACCAAAACAAAACAAAATAAATAAACAACAACCATGTATTTAATTCAGTTAACCATCCTAGAAATGTTAATTCTTACAGAGATATATTATAACGTTGTCCTCCAGGGGGCATTAAATCGTCAGCAAAACACTAGTTTCATTGGAAGGCACTCAAATCCATTCTTCAAGCTCAAACAGTTGGGCTTACTTCTCATTGGGATGCAGAATCTTTAGGCCCCATATCCAGAATTTCATGCCTGGGAGTTTCCTTGGACTAGACCTAACACTTCTTAGATTGGCTAAGGTGGTGTGAAAACACAGCAGCCTCGAATGTGTATGTTGCCACCTTGCTCTCTGTCTTGCTATATTCTTGGATTGGCTGATCTCTCTAGCAAACCTTTAAATATACTATTGCTTTAGGTCAGAAGCCCTTGGTGCTTGACTCAAATGACTAAATTTACCTCTTAGGAAATCTCTCTCTTAGGATCTGGGTCACAGAACTCTGTGTCTATGCTTTGTCTTCCTGAAAAGACTAACTCAAGGGTAGGAGTAAGGATTAGTTAAAATAGTCCAAAGAAAGTAATTGGTGCATGGTAAGTGTTCCATAAATGATACTCGAAACGCATCATTATTGTTCCTCCATCTGGAGTGAAGATGTGTGCCATATGGTGTCCGCCTTACCTCCTTCATCCCACAGACCTCTTTACCCATTTATCCCTTGGATCCTGGGATTCTATTATTTTTGCCTACACCATCACTTTATGAAATCCCACTTAAATCTCAATGATTATCTATAACAACATTTTAAGACAAAGAAGCTCATCATTTCCCTGTTCCATTCCCCTACCTCTGACCAGTGACAAGGACACAATGTCTTCATTATGCAGTAGCTGCACAGGTATGTATGCTTTTCAAAACACACAGTACTGTATATTTAATACAGATGCATTTGTGTGTGTGTGTGTGTGTGTGTGTTGGACCCCAGGTTTGAACTCAGGGCCTGGGCAGTGTCCCTGCCTGAGCTTTTTGTTCTCAAGTCTAGGTCTCTACCAGTTGAGCCACTTCTGGCCTTTTTGGGATAGTTTATTGGAATAAGAGTCTCATGAACTTTCCTGCCTGGATTTGAACCTCGATTCTCATATATCAGCCTCCTGAGAAGCTAGGCTTACAGGCATTGCTTAATATGTGAAGTACACATCTATAAACCAACTCAGTGGGCCTACAAATAAGAAGACCTCATTTCTTGGAAACGGAAAGATATAGCTCAAATTCAAGTTCAGATACCCAATAAGTCTCTCACATGAATAAGAGTCACGTCCTTTTCTGGTAGTGAGGGTTTATAGATAAAAATAATAATAGCCATGTTTCACAGTGACTTCATGCAATCCAATCTGACTGTTAAGCCTTTCTTTTGTGGCACAGCTATTTCTAAATTAGCTACACATCCCTGTCTAGCAGAGGTAATCCTGAGGATAGAGATGTGTCATCCTTTTCTTTTCCACCATGTCTAGCATGGAGTAGAAGCACAGTAAACATTTGGTCTCATAGCCTAATGTACCTATTTTTGAAGAGCAAATGCAAAAGGCATTCCAAGGAGAACACCTGCAGGATGTCTCGCTTCTACAACCACCTGGGATTGCGACAGCTGGGTATTTTGAAGTCTGACAGACACTTGGGTAGATGAATAATTCAGCCACAGCTTCCCCCTACTCAAGAGAGATAATACACCTTGCGTTCCCATAGCCGTTTAGGTTCACAGGCTAATCTAATCGACGTGACACATTGTGGAAAGATCTCGTTCTGCTTTCTTGACCAGTAAGGCACTCTATTTTCCATGGTTCAAAGTTAAGCTTTTATTTGGTTTTGAAATTAAAAAAATAAATTTCATTATTAAATAGTGAGATGGGACTAACTAACAATCAAATAGTAGCTTACTCAGGAATATAACCGCCGAGGTGGGGTGGGGTGGGGTGGGGGTGTTGGGAAGGGAGGGTTACAATTAAGGTGGGGGGGGGGGGGGAGGAAGTTGGGGGTGGGTGGAGATAGATCACCTAAACTAAAATAGTTATGTTTAAACATTTGTGAACGGTTAGTTCAACAGTGATGCGATTTCGAAAGGAACTGGAATACAAAGTTTCAAAATGTTGACAATGAATGGGCGCAGCACACCGCGTCTTCTTCCTGGCGCTGGCCAACTACCCCCTTCCTCCACCGCAGCCAGGGTGGGCATTACACCACCGTGCTGATGTCATCCGGCTCATCGGCTTTCTTTTGCCTGCTTGGCAGGGATTTCAAGTATTCCAGGTGTCTCCGGGCATCCTCCTGGTTTTGCCGCACGTAATAGACCACGTACGAGATCACCATGGTGAACCAGCCGAACATGGTGACCAGCATGGCATAATCCGTAGTCTTTTTAGGGAGGTTACAAAGGTCGGCGTCATTGGCAGCATTGAGGAAGGGTCTTCCTGCGTGCTCGTCCAACACCGACGTCTTGCAGATCACATTGTGGGCCGTCTCGTGGTTGGACGCCATGCTCCTCAGCACTTGCTGGAGAGTACAGTCACAATGCCAGGGGTTGTTGGCAATCCTGGCCCTGGCCTTCAGGTTATTGAAGGCATTTTTGTGCACGCTCTGAATCCGGTTGTCAGACAAGTCCAGAGTCTGTAAGGTTTCGGCGACCCCTTTGAAGGCATGCTCGTCGATGAACTCGATGCCGTTTTTGGAGAGGTTGAGAACTCTCAGTTGATGGAGGTCCTTAAAAATCTCATTGGGGATGGATGTGATCTGATTGGAGTCCAGATACAGTAAGACTGTTTCAGGAGGGAGATCTCTGGGTATTTCCTTGAGGTTTGCATTGCTACAGGTGACATTTAAGCCTCCGGAGGAAGAACAAAGACAGCCCTTGGGACACATACTGGCAGAATGAAAGCACAGTATCATAAGAACAAAACTTTGTAGGAGGAGACACATGGAGAGGGAGCGGGTTAACCACAGGTCTACCAGATTCATGCTGGAATGTCAGCATAATCGTAAGTCCATTCCTCATTTACTCCAACTAGTGTGGCAACGGTTCCAGCTCTGTCCACACCATCGATTTCCTTCTTGTGGAGCTTTAAAAGGTCGTGGCTAACACAAGCGTCTCTTCATTATTCTTGTCTTTGCTTGGAAGCCTACAGAAAGGGAAGCAGATGCAATTAGCTCTTTTGCAAAGGGAAATGCATTGCAATTAAACAGTCTCTCAGGTATCTGGTGTGCTAGTTGGGAAGGAAGGTTCGTTATGCAGGCAATTTCCACCGAGGCCACTGGGAGTTGCCTGTGGAATGGGAATCTCCTGCTCAAACCCCAGGTGCCAGGGAGAGGGCTGTTAATAAAAGACAACCTTTCCAAACTCTTGTCACCTTGTTTTTGGCTGGAATTAAAGGCAACAGTCTCGATTTCTCTCGACTCTGCTGTTCCCCTCCTAAACTCCTTCTAAATTCTACGGCAATAAAATTTAATTACATCTTTCACCCTTCCTGCAATAGCAGATGTATTAATGCAATTTAGCCCTGCACTTGGGCAACCATGAGAAATAATACCAGGACTTCATGGTTAATGACCATAGACAGGAATGTCTGTCTTGGCATTTGAATGGATGCCCAGTTTGGAATACGGGTCCTAAAGAAGAATGATCTTTAACTTGAGTTAAGAAATGAACAAATGCTTTCCAACCTTTACCATACAATGTTTCTGGGGGACAGATAACCAAGAATTTCCCAGATTGTCACTTCCCTGTGACTTCTTGAGATTACATTATACCTGGGAGAATGCTCTTAACTGAATTTTCAAAAGATTCCATTTTCTAAACAATGTATTCCCTGTACAGCAGAATTTCAAGTATGACACTCACCTGTAAGACTTTCTTTTTAGTACTGAAATAAATACTAGCTTCTAAGAATTCCCCCAATAGCTGTTTTCCCCTTTTCAAGTACTATAAGCATTGAAAATAATAGAAATTAACTACACTCAATTACAAACATAAGTGATATAAATAAAATGATAAATTGTATGCAATGGCAGAGAGCAGAGATGCAAATATAATTTAACCCTCCCAGTACCCTCTGATACAGAGTGGAAAGGCATATCTTTGCAATCAACCAGTTCATGTAGGAGATGAATGATCCTGCAGATATTAGGTGATTTGCCCAAGGTTGACCAGCTGGTAGGTACATAGACAGATCTCAGATGAAAATCTGCTTTCTGATTCATTCATCTCCTAACTCTTTCACTACTCCCACAGCTCTCTTTCCATCACATCTCCTCTATGAACATAAGATCCAACGAGCATTGCTTTGGGAGGATCTCAGATGCTGTTATGTTGTGCATCTTAATTCCTGATCCTTCTTTCCAGCCTAGAGGGATCCTTGATTTCAACTTTTCCTTACAGGACCCGAGAAACAAAGCAAGCATTCACTCTTGCTATACAGTGAGCAACAAATGACTTTATGCAAACTTATCTTTTCTGAAGATCCCAGATGGATAAATACAGAGGGAAATGATCCAAATGTTACCCAACTCACAGAAGAGATGATTAATGTGAGCTGAAAACATAATGAACTGGGTTGTTAATCATGGAAAAAAATGAGATTAAGAGCAAGCAGGATGGAGAGGATGTGCTTTTGGAATACTGTATCCCTTAAATGCCAGAAAATGCTAAAGAAGGATCCCTAATCTTACTAAGTCATCCCTCATTCATTTGCAATGAAGTGTCCTGTCCATCTCACATTTTTCCTTCAAAAGTGCATCGTATGGCACCTGGGTGGGGTCTCTAATAAGTATCTCGATCAGAGCAGTATAGAAGAGACATTATTCTGAGAAACAAGCAGAAATACAAAGCAAGAGTCGGTGGGAGGAGCTCATGAGAAGGACATAACAGACAGGACAATGGAGGAATAATGAGAGCCTCTGTCAACCAAGGAACCTTGATTAACCAAGTCTGTGCAATCAGCTACCTACTAACTTACTAAAAGCTTGGGAACCTCCTCTGGAAGATGCTTCACCTTTCTCCTGAGATTATGGTTAGTAGTTGTTTTCTTTTTTATGAGTATGTAGAAGTGTTCAATAATTCATACTGTAAAATGTGCGGGGACAAGGGCTTCTTTCTGCCTCATCTAGAAACGACAGTAAACAATTTAAAAGTCGTTGGTGTATCAGCTTTGATCTTTGCTATCCGTTCTTTGAGGATAAGTTATTCAAGTGACATTCTAATAATTTTTTTTAAAATAGAGATGTAATAGAAGTTGGTATCCACTGATTTTATATGCCAATGTGGTAGACTTGGCAAACATCACAAGTATAGACTCCAAGAAGGTCATAGATGCCCCGGCTGAGGAAACTTGTTAGGAGTACAAATACAGAGTCTATCTTCCACCACAGAAATTATGCTCAAGTTAAATACTGGGTCTTCTCTCTATAAAGTTTGCTAAAAGAACAAGAAAACTTCCAATCGGCTAGACTGCTAGGTCACTGTGACGTGGTCTTTACCTTAGACCTGATAAAGTGACAAGAGATGTAGAATGTGGGCAGTAGAGTCCTTAGGTGGTGTGATCTGAATATGTGGTCTCTCACAAACTCATATATTGAAATTGAATCCTCAATGTGAACGTGTGTGGAGAAGCAGAGCCCTCATTATTGGGATTAGCACCCTAATAATGGAGTTCCTAGATGCCCCCCTCTCTCCCTATCTATCTAGTGCATATGTATTTATACCACATTTGAACTCAGGGCCTCAAACTTGTTTGTGGCTGGTGCTTTGCCATTTGAGCAGTGCTTCTAGCCTGGATTTCTGCTGGTTATTTTAGAGATAGGGACTCATAGTCTTTCCTGAAAAGGCCAACTTTGAACCAGTCTCCTGAGTATCTAGGATTACAGGCATGAGCCACTAGCACCTGGCCCTGCCTTGCTCCTTCTATCATGTGAAGACACAGGGAGAAGATGGCTAACGTGGCCCAGGGAACAAGTGCTTACAAGTCTTCTGGGAGCCACCTTGAAGTTGGACTTCTTAGCTTTCAAAACTATAAGTAATAAATGCCTGTTGCTTCAGTAACAAAAATTGACCCAAACAAGTCCAGGAGATGGTCTAGACATAAAGTCAAAGATGTTGAATCAAGCAATATCTAGTATATGTCTGAGTCAAGCAGAAAAGGTCAGATAAGGTGATGTCAGGGAAATGAATCCTAAGATATGTACTCAAATATTTTTTTTTCTTTCATGTGATTGTTTCTAACACAATTATAAGATTATTTCTTTGTTGCTTTGTATGTCCCTCCCCCACAGTATAACTCCTGTTTTCACTGTAATTGATGTCGGTATAAATTGTGGAGGGGAAGGGGAAAAACAAATCGTTTAAATAGGGATCCAGGTGGACCCATTGCAACAATGAGA